ATTTCTAGGTGGGAGAATGGCTTCACCCTGAGTTTGTATGGGAGTTACTAGTTTGGTATGCTAGAACTCAGTCACAGTAAAACCTGTTTAGTATTTGCTGAGAAAGTGGCAAGTAAAAATAGGTTTATTCAGTTTACGAGTTTGCTTTTCTTTACTAGTTACTCTTTAACACCTACCATACCAGGCTATTGTTACACAGTTTTAAGGTTTTCCAGCAGTTACTGTGTTTGCTTATATTGTATCCTTTCTTCTTGGCAAATATGATGGCAAAATATTTTCTAGAGAGGTATTTTTGGGTTTTATGTTTACTACTGGCATTACTAACTGAAGAGAATTGGGAGTAATTGGGTAAGACAGCCTGGAGAAATTGGGTAAGAGAATTTTAGCACTTTTAGTAATCAAAAATTGCACAGAGAAAACCTCAGTTAAAATGTATTCATGGGAAGAATTGAAGAACTTCAGTCATCTTTTTAGATATTAGGGTATTATTCTTTTTCTCATAGTTGTATTCACCATTAAAGCAAAGTCAGCTTGATCCTATTTTGCAGAGGAGGAAGTAGAACTGGGCATTCTTGTTTTAAAAAAAAAAAAAAATTCTATGTATTGTGAGTCTGTAAGTGATGTGCAAGTCAAAACTTGGAACTAACCATGCTATTAATACAGTTTAGGATTTAAATAAGGTGCTTCACCATGTGGATAGTTGGAGCTTTCTGAGGAGTTCCTCTGTGGAAAGCATAGCTTTCCAAAGTGTGCTGAAATTAATGTGAGACTTGGGCATTTATCAACAGAACTCAGTAAGTGTGTGTTTGCATGCATCTAATAGTTGCAGATAGGAGGTAAAAACATAATTTTTTTCACTGGAATTTAAAACCCAGTGTTGAATATTGTATTTAGTTTTACTGTTGCTGATTGATGGCATGTCCTAGAAGAGTTTCGGAGCTAGAAGAGTCAGCTGAGCTGCAATAACATGTTGTATGCCTCAATAACACAACTGAGTATCTGAAGTCATAGATGATGGTTTATGCCTCTTAGTTGTACCAGGCTAGGCTAGTACCAGGCTAGGCTAGGCAAGAACTGCGGGGGCATTTTCTGTTGGCTAGTCCTGGTAGTCAGTACCACCTCAGGCCATCCTGATAACATGAGCAATCAGTGAAATGGTGAAAATCCAGATTACTCACGTAAAGAAACTTTTGCTTCATCTAGTAAATCTTGCATTCTTTACCGTGAAGTGCATAGTAAACAGGATGATTAGAGAGCGCGTTCCCTTCAGTCTGGTCCCTGGGGTGGTTAGAGCATTCCTCTGGGATATAGATGCACATTAAAATCTAGGTTTCCCAGAGTGTGTGTTTTATAATAAGGGAAAAGATCTCAAAACAGTTCTTTTCAACTTTTCTTAGCTAGGTTCGGTGTCCTCCCAGTGAAGAGTGCTGGCTCACGTGAGTCCAGCTCTGAAGTTTCATGTGCTTTAAGTAAAGAAATAGAATGTCACATTCAAGGCTCTGCTTTCTGCTCTGTGAGCCCCCTATCTAAAAATTAGATGTGACAATTCTTTATGGTACAGCATCCACATTTTTTTTTTTGTATCTTGCCTGAGGTGTTTGTCTGAAATGCTACCTGTGCTGTAGCATATTGTCATTTGTACCAAGTGTTATGATCCTAAAATGACATTTAGAATAGATAGCAAATAATCCTATTAGAATTGCTGTTAGTTTCTGACTGCCAGTCTTCACCAAGCTGAATGTTTAAAAAAGAATACCTTGATAGGATTTCGTATGTTTTCTCAGTCAGCTTCTTTAACATATGAAGCCAATTTTTTTTGTTTGACATAGTTCATAGGGAAAGGGTGTTAAAAAAGGCTGTTGGGAAGTATGGTCAGTGTCACGTGTTGAATAAATTCTCGGACAAAGCCAAAGTGAGCAATAAGTATCACATTTCATTTTTGAAGTATATATCTTTTTTTTTAGGCTTTTTCAAGTGAGGTTAATTTAATGATTGTGTTAAATAATGTTGTTGTTCAGTGAAACCTTGTCTATGCCTGGCTGAACGTGCTTGGTCTTGGAAGTTAATGACATTCGTGGGAGCTCTCCTAGAAACTGCAGCTACTGTAGTCATAAAGCAGAGCTGCGTCTGAACTCCTGACAAACAAAGGTTTCTCGTCTCTATCACTTCTGGGAACTTAACAAATGGGGGAAAAAATGGGATAGCGTGACATACGTTGTTGTAAAGAATGTAGTAATGTAGAAGCAAACTGGAAAAAGAGCTGAACTCTTGCTTTGTGAGCCCTTAAATTGTTATTCTTTTTCTTTCCCCCTCTTTCAAAAGCCTCCTGGGTTGATGGAAGTTATACGGCAGATATGTGTAATTCCTGATTTTTGATATGTGAGGATTATCAGCAGCTATTAGTCTAATAATTTTCCAAGTCAGACAAACGCAGCCTATGCTTGCAGTTTCTTTTAAAGTCTGTCGAGATACCTACCATCCAGTATTGTCAGATGCATTTGTTAATTTGAAATTAGTACGTTTCACGGTTGAGAACGTTATAGTTCAACGTTTATTCCTGTGTTTAATCTATGGATGATTAAACAGTAAGTATGTACTGAAAACTGAAATTTCTAAACATTGATATTATATGACAAATAAAAAAGCATCATTCATTAAGTTAAATCTGCACATTCCAGTGACTTTATTTGTGCCGTTCTGGAGCAACACATTTTTAACTCACTCTATACCAGTTTAGAGTTCTATGACAACTTTGTGCTTTATCCTTTTTTCTGCTTAGTCAGTTTTTTGACGCTACTATTTTGATTTAGCTTGATAGTGTTCTTTTTTTATAAAACGTTACAAAATTGGTCAGCTCTGACTAGATGTAAGCTTAAGAGCGTAAACTAGTCAAAACTCAAAGTCATTAAATCAGCTTAGAGCTCTGATTCAACAACAACTTATTTTGAGGATGGGTGTGCTTTTTTACTTAATGTTTTCACTCCTTGTCTAAAAGACTGTTAGGCTATCTTAATATTATGATTGTGAAAAAATGTGGAGTCAGGGAGATTTAGAAGCATCAGTTCATCAGTTCCTATCTTACAGTTAAGGCAGCTCACGTTTGCCCAAATACTCACCTTTTGAAATACTTCACTCTTATCTCTTGTCTTACTTTGTAATATCTCCAGTGATGTAAGCTCACAGTCCCTGATTGTACAGCTGTAGTTGTCTACCTAGAAAGTTACCTCTCTCCCCCTCCCCCCACCCCCGATATTTTTGAAGCAATTTCTATTGGAGCAGCTAAAAGAGTTTAAGGACAGCGTGTTGCTGAAATATTTTTACTTCAGGCAAGATGGAATTCATTTTCGCTACTTGGGTCTCAGATATACTATTTTTGGATCAGCTAGCTTGTGTTTCTAAGAGTTTTACAATTTGTGTTTTCAGTGTTACGACAGTGGAAGGTTTAAGGAAACGGCCATTAATTGTATTTGATGGCAGTTCAACAAGCACAAGCATAAAAGTGAAGAAGACTGAGAATGGAGCTGCGGATCGCCTAAAACCTCCCCCAGCTGGAAGCACCACCAATACTGTTAGAAGACTATCAGTTACTTCGAATGTCTCAACGTATATTTCAGCCTCCAGTTTATCAGAGGACGCTAAGCTGGAAACTGGGAATAATGAGGCTAAGCAGAACACTATTTCAAAGACTAATAGCAGTGTGTTGGCTAGTCTGAAGGTGTACCCCTTGTCCTCGGTAGCTGGAACTACTGTTGTGAAATTAAAGAGAGCTGTTCCAAAAGAAGAATCAGATTTGGCGGTATGTATGTTCAGAGTTTTGTTTTGCAGCTTATTTTTAATGAAACTTGCAGGAGCCAAAGGTAAATACTTGTAATGGTTTTCAAGATTATTTTGTATTAGAGTAATAACAGAGTCTTTATTTAGAAACAGGCAAAAGAGTAGCTGTTTTGAAAGAGATTAGAAGGAAAGAGAAGAAATGCTTTGTACTTGTTCATGGGAAGCCTCTGTGGGAGAGAGGCAGCTTGGTAGAAAACACACATGTGTTTTAAAATGAATAAATAGGTAATAAAAGGTGGCGCAGGTAGCAGAGTCAAACAACGCACAAATAAAATAACCCTATTGTGTAGGTATGAGAGAGGACACGTAGTACAGAAGAGTGTGTGCGGCCTTAAAGTGAGAATAAGTGGTCTGTTTTGTGGTAGGGAAGAAAAGGATGGAACGATAAACATTTGCAGCAGTCACACTTGAATGGTTGAGTAGGACAAGCTTTCATTTGTCAAAGCGAGGAAAGAGATGTTACAGGAACTGAAGCAACTGATACTGAGAGTTGTAGAAAATATTCTTAAAGTAAAAGAATCATTTGTTTTAAATCTTACATAGGAACAATTGCAAGCTAGAGGTGTGAACTGTGTTTGAAAATGTGGGAAGCTGCCCAGATTGTGGGTTTGAATCAGAACAACAACAAACCGGTTGAGAAGTGAGAAAGCAAAGGTCGGGTGCTCCTTTTCGGCCGTAGTAATTTTGTATGGGTACGTGGGCATCTATGAGGAGATGCGTGCACGCTGAGGTCTTGAACAGAAGGGAGTTGTTCTCAAGGAGGAAGGCTGATCACCAAGCTGTTAACGTGAGGAAAGTAGCTGTTTACCTTTCTGCAAGTTAGATTCAGCTACAAAAAAAAAAAATACGTAGAGGAGAGTCCTGTACCACAGATGGGGACAGTATATGGCTGATGTGCTGAGAGAAGAACTTAGGCAGGACTGAGTTGTGACCTCAGAAGGAAAAAACTTTGAAAGTGTAGGTAATAGTGCTGAACGCAGTTGCAAGTTGAGGAGGAAAATACAGTAATGGTTCTGAATTTTGACAAAGGTGTGATTAGTCTTTAAGAGCTTGTCGATGTGCAAGGAGCAGAGCCAAATAGTGGACCATCTCCTCTTTGAGACATGCTGTGAGGTAGGGATAGACTTTATATTTGTGTTGTGTTCCTTCATGATATAAACGTATTCTACATTAATACAGGGGCTGTTTCACATGTACATTGAAATGTAGATTTTTTTTTTTTTTTTTTTTTAGAATAAAACAGGGCCTCAAAGGAGGAAATAGAAACATCTGTTCTAAGTACAACTGCAGGGGGAGTCCTGGATACAGTGTGCAATTACATTAATTGAAATTTTCTCAGGACACCAGACCTAACTTCAGTTGTTCTCTTAATATTGGCTCATGTAGTGCTTTCCATTCATCTCTCTCAAATCCTTTCATGAAAGAATGCGAGTAATGTCCTTATTGCACAGATTGATGAGTTCTTTCAGACTTGTATTAAAAGTAAGTACCTAAACACCTATACTTGTTAGAGCTGTCCTTCAGAACAACCTTTCCAAAAAATCATGGCTGAGGCTCTGAATCAAATTTACCCTGGAGAGTTGTTTCCTACTATAAATATCACTATTTTAATACTTAGAACTTTTCTAAGTATTGGCCAGATCAAAACCTGCAGAGCTTTTGAAACTTGATTAATGTATAACATAAAGGTTCTTTATAGTTCATTTAAGTGTTTTGTAGACGTAATGAACATTTTTAAATATATATAACCAGTATTTGAGATTCAAGATCTCTAGCACTTGACTTTTTATCTTAGCCACAATTTATGTTGTTCAAGTTAATACAGATATGTTTAGTCATATGCCTTGGTTCAAACAGATTTGAAGTTAGGCAAATGTGTTGAATTAGACCATAGTGGAATGAATGAATGTTACTTTACTGTCTATAATTAAAGAATGGGGTATTGGATAGTAATTGATGCAGCCAGAAAGCATCGGTGCACTTGGCAGATGTTTCTAGAATGTAAAGGCCAATATATTTTTAGTATAATGACAGTAATGACGATTGCCACCTCAGACAAGTGATTATTTTTTAGCTTTCAAGAAAATCTGAAGTTGTTAGGCTAATACTGGATTATCCTTGTGGTCTTCAAGTCTAACTCCCTACAACCTTTCAGTGGTTGAGATCCACTGGACTGCTGCAAATAGACCTTACACTTAAAATTCTCAAGAATATTATTAGTGTCAGTAAATTTCTAGAACACCCTTCCCCAAACCGCTGTTTGAGAATATACTGTAAAACTTGTGCGTCTGTCTTTGCTCTGCATGTCTGAACAATTAAAGCTCTAATTTCCCAGGTTTTTCTTGGTTTGCATGGTGGAAGGTAGAAGGTAGTTGTTTCACCACTTCAAATCTCCAGTTGTTTTAATTTGAGCTTGATTTAGTGTTTGTGTGTGTTTTTTTTTTTCTTTAAATACGCATTCATCTGAGGGTTAAGCAATTGTTTTGCATTTTTATATAGGTCATTACAAAGGAAGACCTACTTTTTTTTTCCTTCTCTCTCTTTTTGCTATTTGACAAAAGTAAATTGGTGTCTCAGTAGTATTTTTATTTTTCCCTTTTAAGTGTTTTGAGAAGGCAATCGGAAATAACTTTTAAAAGTGTGAATTTTGAAACTCCGGTATGTATCTGTTTCTAAGCTGCATGATTTTCTTATTGAAAGATACTTTTGCATAACTGATTCTAGGACTAAGAAAAGACCAAAAAAAAAAAAAAACACCCTGATTTGCAGACAGTTAAATTTGTTGGCCTTTATTTCTGTCCTCTCTAGAGAAACTCTGATATTTTAACTTTCTCCACAAGATGGCATTAGAAAGCTACTGCAGTAGCATATAGCTAAGTATATCAATAGTCAATACAAAATTTGAGTATTGCAGTTAACTACTAACTTCAAGTTGACGTAACACACCTAACGGTAGTTGTATGTTATCTTCTATTCCAGAATGACCTAAAGCCTACAGAAGCAAAGAAGAAAATCCAGCATGTTACATGGCCATGAAGTAGCAAATGGTGCTCAAAACATAAATGTTACTTCCATATTTTCAATTAGATAAGTCATATTTGAACAGTTTAGTTCACTTCTTTTTAAACCTTACAGGGATTCAGATTGCTGTGAAGTTTTAACAAGTTTAAAATTTCCCTGTTGTAAGCCTGGAGTCATTATCACCAGTCACCTGAAGAGTGTTCACTATTGTACACAAAGTAGTTCATTCCCTCCTTAAAAGGTGGTAGTGTTACAATATACTAAAATCCCCTGCTTTTAGTTCTCAAGGTTATTATAGTTCATCTCCTGCATGTCTCTACAAATCACACATATAAATATTTTTTGTTTTCAGTAAGATTCAGTTTTGATCCACTTTTGGTTAAATGGCTAAAATAGTTATTGAGATTCAGAGTGATCTCAACAGGCTTCTTGGCATCAAAAAGGTACTTAATTTAAATGAAGAGGCAGACCATTCAGCTGACCAGACAGTCTGAGACCAAATTTTTCCGTTTTGTTACAAAGAACAGGAGCGTAGAATTTACAGTTAGGTTAGGTTGGTAATAAGAGATGAACTATGTAACAGCTTTACTTCAAATTGAAGTTTCTCTTATTGTCATGTGAAATAAGAAGTGCACAGATGGAAGCATATTATTAGACTGTCTGAAATGAATCTTGGAGAGGAAGTAATGAATGGATTAGTGCCATGTTCTTTTATATACACGGGCCTATTTTATACATGCATAAGTGTAAAAATGTGCCTGTGTAGCTTGCTTGTTTTCCTTGTTACAATCATGCTTATAAAATATGGGGAAAACATGTGGAACGAAAGTCAGTGCTTTTTTCACTAACTGAAGGTTGGAGAGGAAGAGGAATATTAGTGTATGTAGTCGCACTCTAAAAAAATCTTTACCTTCCCGTCCTGTGATCCTTTAAGGTAGACATTGGTTTTCTGAATGGGTTTCAGCTGGATTATTGCTAGTACCATATGCAGCAG